TCTATTAACCATGCCATAACCCTCTGCAGGTCAGGTGACCTTGGGTAACACTATGACCTTGCCACACATTGCATACTTGTATCCACCACCTTCCTGATGTTTACATGTCACCACTGGATTTATGGTGTTTCTTGTCCTCATTGCTGTCAGTGATCCAGGTCCTGCCAGAGCCTCTCCCCAGCACCCCTGGCCTACAGAGATGAGCTCCACCTGACCTCTTTTTGATGCTGGCCTTCTTCATGGTAGATGTTCCTTGTTGCATTGGTTAGTGGAGTTTTCAGTGGAGAGCATGGCTCTGCTATTTTCTTCCTGGCTTTATATACATCTTTGCTTGGACATATATCTTTGCTTATATATATATCTTTGCTTGGACGTGCCCACTTCATTGAGTGTTTTAATCCTCTTTTCCACCATAAAACATTGCAATTCTAGCCTTTGTAGCTCACAGTCTATGGGCCATTACTCTTTCCATGCTTTTCTAGGCCACCCTAACAGTGTTTTCATACCATTCCTGTTCTCCCTGCCAGATATGGAATCCTGTGTCTCAGGAAAGGATTTCTATATTCATAAATTCTCCAACCTACCCCAACCTTAGGTACCCTCATGGTCTCCCAAGAACCAAGCACCTTTAGAATCCAGTCCTGGCTCCTGCTGTATGTGTCAGTTACATGTCCCAAAGCTCCTTTGGGGCTATAGTTCCTTCCTTTGTTATTAAGCCCAGCATCTCCGCAGCCCAGTTACACTAATTGTCCCAGTAGCCAAAAGACAAGTGGAAGCAGGTCCTGAAGGGGAGGTACAGTGTCCTACAGGACAGGGACCTCTGCATTTCTTCAAGGATTGAAAGTACATTAATTCTTTTTTTTTTTTTTTGAAAGTACATTAATTCTTAATCTGGAGGAATGGGCTATATCTGGAGGCTCAAAGGCTTTAAGATGTCTCCAGTGTCAGGGTTCCAGTCTTTCCCAACCCGAGCGTGACCTTGGCATGTAGACTTGCTGAGGTGGAGGGTTTAACTTTACTTGGAACTTGCTATTCTGAGGTCCCCTGCTGTCTCTGTCAGCAAGGGGCAAGCATGGAAGAGATCCTCCTTCCGTGCCACAGAGGAAGCCTTCTGGCTTTCACATTTAGCTCTTTCCTGCTCTCAGCCTTTCATTATTTTTCCCCCAAAAGTGTTAGTCAAGCTTAGCAATAACCACCTAAAGCCCTGAATTTGCTTTCTCTTGATATTTCTCCAATGCTTGGTAGGTTGCCCGCACCACTGCATTTCCTTCCCGGGGTAAGCTAACCCAACTCACCAATGGTCAAAAATCTTAACAGTTGCACCATCACCTTATGACAGGGGCTGTCTTTGCTCCACTTGCCACTGTTGCCAGGCAATGGTGAGATGGAGGATCAAATTTCAACATCCCACCCAGCACCATTCTCTCACACTGGGACAGGCTGGGTTTCCTAGGAGAACTTGGAAGACATCAGCATGAGGAAGGCTATTAAGGAGAGCTCTCAGGCGCCACATTTGCAGGCTGAGGAAGAAATTGGGCTGTAACTGCATTCATTTCTTACTGGTGTAGCAAATACTCACAAAAGTTGTGGCTTAAAACAGCACAAACTTTTAAAATCTCATAGGTCTGGAATTCAAAAGTGCAAAATGGGTCTACAGGGCTGTGTTCCTTCCTGATGCTCTATGGGGAACGGTCTCTTCCGTAGTGGTTTCCAGGTTTTAGAGGCTTCCCACCCTCCTTGGGTGCTTCCATTCTCTACATTGTCCCATCTTCTCAGACTCTGATCCTCTTCCCTCCCTATTACAGAACACTTGTGATTACAAGGTGCCCATCTGGATAATCCAGGATCATCTCACCAAAGTCCCTAATCACATCTGAGAAGCTCCTTTTACCAAATAAGGCAGCAAACACAGGTTCCGAGGATTTGACTGTAGATTATGTGTGTGTGTGTGTGTGTGTGTGTGTGTGTGTGTATGGAGGGTTGCTTTATCCTGCCTACCATAGACACAGTCTCCACAGGTGCTTCAGCTGAATGTGCATGGAGCTTTGAGACTGGATGTCTGAATTGCTGGGGTGGGGAAACCTGTACCCCTTTGGGTTAGATGAGTCATTGGGTGTGGGTCTGCTGTTTTTAGACAATCCCTAAGAGAGCTGACAGCCCTCTTGTGCCTATTGGGAGAAGTCCTTCATGTGTGATGGGTTCTGGGTGGCCACCCATAACATCCACACAGTGCCTCTCCCCTCATCTGGCCACACAGGCTTTCACCCCAGCACATTTGCCTGCTTTTCCCTTCTCCCACTTGTCCTTCTGATCTTGGCTCCATAGCTACTTCCTTCAGGAAACCTCTCCCAACTATTCTGTTAAGATTATTTCCATCAAAGCTGGGGGAAGGGCTACTACACTTGAGGACATTACTGTTTATGTTTATTGGAGTCAAACTCCCTCAATGGACGGGGGTTGACTTTCCTGTGTTGAGTGTTTTACACTGGGCATAGTGGATCTTACACCTGTTGATCCTTGGAATGTGTCTGTTGAACAAAGGTAGGAAAAAGCCTTCTGCTTTCCTATGCATGGCCCCATTGTATTCGGTAGTCTGGATCCTGTGTTGTTCAAGCGTTTCCCTACTTGATGAATATGCAAGCTGCTTCCAGTGCTTTGATAGTTCATAGGAGGGCACAGTGAGTGTTTTCATGCCTAGAATTGTCCCTCCACCTGCAGTTTCTGGGGGGCGGAATTTAGAGGTGAAACTGCCGGCCTCACAAGTTGCTGGGGATGGGACAAAGAACGGAGAGGAGGCCAGGTCCACCCTGGGCAGCAAGACCCACCATGTGCTCCCTGGCTGTGTTTCTGCCATGGGCACAGAAAGAGCACAGGAGGTGGATACACAAGGGGACGCAGAGGCACAAAACAGCCCACAGAAGCAGCAGAACTGACCCCTGTAGAGTGAGATTTGGCGGTACTCAAGGTCCCAGGCCTTGGGTTCCTGCCTTCCAGCTATGTATGTCCCCACCTTTTGGACCTCAGAAGGTCCTCTCCGCCTGAAGTTGGTGCTGTTGGTTTATCAGTTTTCTATATTTGCTACCAAAGGGCACCAGCTGTAATACGTTCTAATTCTTGTTATTGTTGTCTAGGATGTGGCGTTCATATTTTCTCCTTGGGGACTGACTGAGATGCAGGATTGTTTGTGTTTGGGGATGGTACCCTGCAAGGGGGATGCATTCTGTGGGGTGAAAAATTATATTTATGCTAAATACACTCACATTAGCTTGAATCCACTTGTGGGCCTTGGCTCAGAAACCCTAGGTCTCTGCGCCTGGCTCTGGTTCACAGCGGGTTGGGGTGGGCTTTGAGAATTCTGCAGAGGGGGAAGGAGAAAGTGCGGATGGCGGCACAGTCCTGGGGCCAGACACTAGACCCGGGGCCTGAGAGGTTTGTGGATATAGCAGCAGGACAGAGTCAGGTGTCACTCACAAAGCAGGCCAAGGGAAGGGGAGAGATGAGAGAGAACAGCTTGGGGTCTGTGTACTGCTAGGGTTTGTGGCCAAGGCTGCAGCAGGCCAGTGTTTCCTTGGGGCAGTGGGAGCTCTCATGACCACCTGGGTGACGGAGGGTAAGTGAGGAACCCTCTGCCCCTCTGCACTGGGGTCGGGGATACCAGGTTCCAGGCTGGGAGCACATGGATAGCATCACGAAATGAGTGCTTAGCACACAGCCTGACACAGGTGACTGCTCTAAATGTCAGGATGTGCGTGGCTGGCTTCTGCCTTGGACTGGATGTTTGCATCTCCTCAACATTGTCTCCATTGAAACCCTAACCCCCAGGATAATGGAGTGAGGATGGAGGGCCTACAAGGTTGTACTTAATCTGTGATGCCACCCCTTTCCCTGCACATATGGTGCGGGGTGTACATGGCGGTTCCCACAGGGCTTGTGCCCACCGTGTCTCCCCCAGCCCCATCCACCGGGGTGGTCCTGATTCGTGCCCTCACACCTAGTGGTTTGATGTCACGTGTCCTGCCCAGAAGACCCAGTCACTGCACTCCCCAGGCCCACCCCAAACCCTGCCTCTTGGTCACATCGGCATCCCAGCTCCTTGCTAACTCCTTTGGGCCCAGTACCCTGGCTGCAAGTCCATGGAGAGCCAACCTCTGAAAAATGATGGCAAGCCCTTGTCCCTGTGTCATTAATTTCCCGTGACCGAGGCCTTTCCCCCAGGGTGGGTGCAGTGACAGATTGCACCTGCTCTGCCTCTTGAGGACTTTGGCTCATGGGAGGCTTCGACAGCATTTCCCAAGTGAAATGCTACGTGGAGATTAATGACCCCTGAGCTGCAGCTCTAGGTGCGCCCGGCCTGAGCACAGCCAGGGCCCTAGGCCTCCAGGGCCTTCAATCCCTTGCGCCACCCACCCTGGTCCATCTGGCCCTTTGGAAGAGCGGAGCTGTTTGCGCGTTCTTGGCTTTGCTTGAGTTCCCAGGATCTCCCAGAAATGGTTGTCTCAGCTTCATGCCTGAAACCTCAAACACAAATAATTTTCAATTTGCCTGGGAGTTTCAATCGCACAATCCAATGTTAAATAATAGATTAGATGCCTCCGGGAGAGAAACAGGATTTAAGAAGGAGAAATAAATAAAAGGAAAAGTAAAATTCAGCCTATGGGTTTGGAGAATAAGCAGGCAGCTTCCCCTCCTGGCCCAGATTCACTGGCCTTCTCCTTTCCTCCCCGGATGGGACAGCAGGTCTCTGAGCTTCTGGGCGTGACCACCCCCCTGTCTCAGCCTCCCCACAAGAAGACTCCTGGCATCAGCAGCCCTATACTCCACCCCAGCTGGTGGTGGCCAGATTCACTCACTCCACCCCACACCTCTACTCCAGGCCCTGTACCCCAAGGACAAGCCTGGCTTGTAGCCCTGGCAACTGCTGTCTACCCAGGCAGACAGAAACTGATACACAGAATGTCACAAGCAGCATTCAGGCAGTCACAGACAGGCTGGCACAGGTGCCAGCACGGCAGACAGAGGCAGGTGAGCAGGCAGGATCTGATCGGCTGGCACAGACACCGGCGTAGGATGGCAGTGGCTTCATTCACAGGGTGATGAAGAGGTATGTCTATGGGATGTGACCTGCCTTCCATCCCCGCAGCCCATGTCATCTCCAGCTGGGACCTTTCTCTCTACCCATCTTAACCGCCCTTCCACTGGCTATAATCTACCGGTCACCATGGGAGGTGGCACCTTGTCCATGGTCACAGATTCTCTCTTTGTCCTGACCGTTCCTCTTGAACTGTGGTTCTCTGTCCCCTTCCCTCCTTTATTACACATGCGCAGGAGGCGCTAGCTCTCACCTCTGCCGTGCTGTCCATGAGCAGCAGGACGGCACACTAGGGACCCGGCAACTCCATCCCAAGAAACTTCAAGTGGGACTTGCCTGGGGCGGCCCTGTTTCTGGGCAGAGCATGGCTTTCCCTTGCTGCAGCGATCAGTGAATTTACAATCTGCTGTCACAAAGCCTTCTTACCTCCTTGTGACACCAAAGAGACAGTAAGCACGCCAATGGGCAAGAACAAGGTCACCAGGCCAAAGTGCTGGGCTTTGAACCCTGCAATATTACTTTAACAGCTGTGTGGCTTGGACAAATTGTTTACCCTCTGTGTCTCAAATTCCTTATCTATAAAAAAATGGAGGGCCAGGGATATAGCTTAGTGGCACAGTGCCTGCCTGGCAAGCGCAAGGTCCTGAATTCAAGTCCCAGTACCAGAAACAAGACAAAAAACGGATAGGATATAATTGTATTATATTTATCTTAAAGGGTGGTAGTGAAGGTTAAATAAGATAACCTATATGGTACACACATTTAGAGATATAGTTTTTTTTTTGAGATAGGGTCTTGCTATGCAGTTCAGGCTGGCCTTGAGCTCACTTTGTAGCCCAGGCTGGTCTCGAACTTGCAGCGATCCTCCGCAGCCTATGGCTCCTGGAATTACAGGTGTGCGCCACCATGCCCTGCTTAGATATATAATTTAGATGTAATATTTATTTATGTGTAATTAAAATAGTTATGTTTTAATTATATAATAATTTATATCAAAATAGTCTTACATAATTTAGTTTTGAGATTCAGCTATATATTTAGATATTACATAATAATATATAGTATATAAATAAAATTTTATATATAATATGTACATTTCAAATATACCTGAATGCTTCGAGTAGCTCCAAGTAAACTCGTAAATAAGTAAATAGCACAGTTATTGCTTCAGGAGCCACAGCAGGAGGGAACAGTGGAGGGGGGCACACAGCCTTGGAGAGAGAGGGAGGAGGAAACTGGACTTGTCGTGCCCTTAGGAGGCAGGGCGAAAGAGAGAGACGCAGGGTTGGTGTGAGTGGACAGCCTGGGAAAAGCATGGCCAAGGTGGGCTGTGCCTAGCAGGTGGGATGGGGCAGTTGAGGCACTCCCAGATACATGCGGGGTGGTGTGGGCAGCAGAGGAGCAAACTTGGGAGTGCAGCACAAGTGTGTACCGAGCTCCCCCAGGGGGTGTGCAAGTTGGGTGGAGGGTGGGGGGCTGTGGGATCCAGAACGAGGGGCAGCTGAAGATGCCTTTTCAACCCATGGCTGGGCAGCAGGGTAGAGAGCAGACCATGCCCCCAGAACGAAGGGAGGCTGCGGAGCGAGGCAGCAGAGCGTTTGCTGGGAGGAGAGGACAGAAATGCGGCACGGGCTGGAGGGGGTGTGGGACTGGTTTCTGCTACGGGGGTTAAACCCAGGGCCTACCCACAGAGCTGCATCCCTTATTTATTTATAGACAGGGTTTTGCTAAGTTGCTCCGTTGTCCAGGTTGGGCTCAAACTTGCGATCCTCATGCTTCAGTTTCCAGAGTTCTGGGACTGCAAGCCTGTGCCACCACACCAGGCTGGCTTTCTTGTTTTATAGAGTGGGGTGATTCCAGTTTGTCTCCTGCAGCTGGGAAAGCTGGAGAAGCCAGGGGTGCGTGCCTGGTGATGCTTCTGAGAAGAGAAGACAATGAGGCTGGGTCCAGAGCACATGTGTGTAGTTGTGTTTACGCGTGTGTCCATGTGCAGCTCACTCTGTGTGCACGGTTTCATGAGTGCATGTGTGTGTTTGTGTCCGTCTGGGTATGTCTTGTGTGTGTTGATGCCTGCCTGTGTATCTGTGTGCCCGCCTATCTGCGTGCACTTGTGTGTGTTGTGGGTGAGGTCAGAGAAGGCCTGGCATTCCGTCTTGGAGAGTGGAGGACACTCCTCAGTGGGTGATGCTGCCCCTGTCCTAGGCCCATGTTAGGCTGAGGGGTACTGGGAGCTGGGAAGTTGGGTATTAGGGTAGGAGGTCCCCGGGAGCTGCTGGGTTCAGGGGTGACTCCCGGGGTCTGCCCAGAAACACTGGGGAGGCCAGATGTGAGTGCCCAAGGTAGGGTGGCTGGGAATGCACCCTCCCTCAGGCCTAGAGATGCACCACCCACCTACAGCCGCGCACAGTCGGAGTGTTGCTGCCACATCGTGGCCGAGTCAGGGATTTCCGGGTCCTGCTCAGGAGCAAGGACTTAGCTCCCCCTGGTGGTTACAGAGTGTCTCTGCGCCTGTGGAGACTTCAGGCACTCTGAGACGAGCTGGGTGGGCGGGCACTAGAGAGCGGGCCGCGGCCACACCGCTCTGCACAGAGCTCCAGCTCCAGCTCCAACTCCTGAGGCTTCGCAGCTCTGTCCAGGCCATTCTGTGTCTCAGTCTCCTCGTCGGTAAAGCAGGGTGAGGCACGTATGGACAGGGCTGCTGGGAGAGGGGTAATTAAACAATGCACCGAGGGTGGGGCCCGGCAGCCACACCCTTTGGTTATGAGCCTCTGATCCCCGCTGCACAGCAGGAAGCCCTCCGCCCTCTGCCCCTGCCCTAGGCTTTAAGTCTTCCAGCCTGCTCTCCCTCCCCTCCTCTTCCTGAGGGTGGGGAAAGGGTGGGAGCAGCCTCGGCCCAGCCCACCCGCCTCCCCGCCCCGTCCGGTCCCTCCTGCGGTCCTCTCACAGCGGAATCCCTTGTGTGAAGCAGCGCCAGCCTCCCAAGGGCATCAGAGCCGGTGGCCTGACCAGCACAGCAGCCGGGCTCGCGCACTGTCCTCTCCCCGCGCCCACCTGCTTGTTCCCCATCCCAGGGCCTACTCACACCTGTCTGCCTGTCAGGGTCTCACATCTCATCTTCCCCCAGACTCAAGGCCCTTGGGGCTCTCAGGCTTCAGGACAGACCCTAGACTTTGGGACATCTGTTCTCTCCTCTGGTCAGAGAGTAGGACCCACATCCAGGGAGGCTGTAGCCCTACAAAGACAAAAGGCTGGTAGGGACTTCAACGGGGGTCATCCCAGAGAGACCCAACTGGGGGGTGGTGGGGCACTGGGGTTTAGGTAGTTACTCTTTTTATTTTTTTGAGACAGGGTCACGCTATGTAGTTCAGGTTGGTTTGGAACTCACTTTGTAGCCCAGGCTGGCCTCCAACTCGAAGCAATCCTCCTGTCTCAGCCTCCTGAGTACTGGGATTACAGGTGTGCGCCACCACGTGTGGCTGGTGTGAGCAGTTATTCTCCCAAACTGATGGACCTACTCCACCCCTGGAACCTACCTGTGGCCCCTTCGTAAGTCCTTAATCAAATGGTCCCCTCCAGCTTATACCTGCAGCAGGGTGAGCAGATGGGACAGGGCAGAACAGGGAAGAGTGAAGAGCAGAGTAGGGGACAGTGACACACCAGACAGTCCCAGAGGGGAGGGAGGACCTAGGCTGTCCACAGCCCCACCCCAGGCATACGTACATGGGTTTATACATGCTTCCATACCTGTCACAAAGACAGGGACACTTGTACAGACACACATGCACACATTCACAGATTTGTTGGCTCACGTGCCACACCCTCCCCACCCCAGACACACACACACACACACGTACTTTCTCATGTCAGGGGTCAAGTCTGCCTCCCCAACCCTTGTGAGGCTCGGGTTAAAGCTGGACCTGGCGCCACCTCAGTGAACTCCAGGCGAGGCTTCAGGGCTGGGGCTTAGGCCTTCAGGCAGAGGGCGTGCTGGGGGCCCCCAGGGGCTGACTGTGGTCATTGCCTGTTCCTGCTCTTCGCCATCCAGAAAGGAAGCTCCTTAGACGAATGTGTCAAGTGTGTGCAGGCCTAGCTGTCCCCGAGCGGGACACGGTGAGGATGTCTTGTCCTGCCCTCTGCCACGTGCACACGCACGTGCACATTCACACACTCACGCTGCGGGGCCGGCCCAGGGCAATCCCGATTGTCTCTGAGAGGCAGCACGGGGAAAAGCCACCCTGCAGGCTGGCCCAGCTGGGCCTTCGGGTGTCCTTTTGCTGAGCAGATGACATGTGGTGCTCTGCCTCAGGCTTCACCAAATGCACCCATGACTAGGGACGCTTTCTGATCATGAGTTCAGTCTCGCTTGGAATGCCAGGGGCAGCTATTTCTGGGTCACTGTCAGCCAGGCCTCTCCCAGCTGCCTCTCACATGGGGCCTGCCCCTTCACAGGTCAGTGTCGTGCCTTTCTGAGCCAATGGGCATCTGCCTGTCCACATTCTGTGAGTCCCCTGAGTCCCTCAGGCCCCGACTGTAGGTAGCCTCCTTCCTGAGCCTCTGGTCCCCTCTGTCAGATAGTCCAGGCCGCTTCTGGCTGGAATCCCAGGGGAGGCCTCACTCCTGCTCAGGGCTCCTGGATGAAGGAGGCAGGAAGCAGCCTCAGCGCCCTCTCCCTCCTTGTGAAGCTCCAGAGCCCTTGGATGGGGCAGGAAGGGAGGTGGAGCACCCCCTACTGCTGTGAGCCTGGCTGTTGCCCTGGCAGCACCATGGTTTCCTCTAAGGCACCCAGAAGCATCTCCTCAGGTCAGGGTGAGGAGACTGAGCTCATGCTCCCGAGAAGGACCTCAGAAAGACGCCCAGAAAGATTGCGAAGGCGGGCAAAGACTCCTGGCAGACACAGGCAGAGACAGAAGCCCACAGTCTGGCAAAACTTCCCTCAGGTTACAGACAAAATCCACACACAGCCACGGTCACACCTATACCATAAATTCCAACAGACACTTCTTGGAGACCTTTTGGCATCATACTGGCTTTGGATAAACTCAGAGCCATATCTGGTGTGAAAGTGTGTGCGTCTCGGGGAGGAGTTTCCTCTACTTCTCTTTCCCCAGCCCCAGAGCTGTTTCATCCGGGATACGCAGTCCTGCAGCCCTAAGGAAGTCTGGTCAGGTGAATGGGCTTGGGTTGCAGTCCAGGTCAGATAATAGCTCTAGGTGAAGGCCCTGCTTAGTTCACGGGTTTAACCTCATTCATTAGCTGAGAGCCATCTCCACTGAGACCTATGCTCAGTGCCCAGGGGCAGCCCCAGCCGGAAGCTTGCTGAGAGCTCACCCCTGTTGCAGCAGGCCTCAGGGGGTACGCTGCAAGGTGCATGGACAAGAAGGGACACCAGTGGGCCTCCCTGCGGACAGGACCTCGTCCTCCCACACATGCTGTTCCTGCCCCGGGAATCCCTGTAGCAGGGCCCTCAGGTGCCTGAGCCAGGCTGTCCTGAGAAGCAGAAAGTTCAGAAGGCATGGGACAAGGTCTGCAAGTTCCTACAACGCCACACAGACACCACTGCTCTGAAAACCAAGTGCTTTATTCAGAACCTCCCCCTAGGTCATAGAAAAGCTGCAAACCGCATGGTTTGTACAAGGCAAAGGCTAAGGGACTGCAGGACATCCCTTACCGCTGGGGCTCTCGGCCCCGGGGGCCTCAGGCGTCCCTGGTCATCGTAGCTCTTAGCTGAGCTCCTGGAGCAGCTAAGTCCTCACACCTCCTTTGGCCAAGGAGTGAGGAAGTGGGTATGGGACAATGGTCAGGGTCCCCATCCAAGGCCTCTGTCCCCCACCCAGGCCCTGCCGCGCCCCACAGCCACGGCTCCTGACATCCTCAGAGCCCTGTTACTCCGGGCACATCTCAGCTCCAGAGGCGGAGCCCTGTCAGGAAAGTCAGTCCTGCGCACCGGTGAGTGGGCAGGGCGGCCGTCCTCCGCAGCGGGCCCTGCCCCTCACTCAGTACAGGTCCGCGAAGGGCTTGGAGTAGTTGAACATCAGGTAGTCCATGTAATAGAAGTCGTAGGTGCGCTGCCGCTGCAGGGCGGAGAGCTGCGCGAAGTACTGGTGGGTGATCCTCGAGGTCGTGCGCGCTTCCTGTGAGTGCCGGTCTTTGAACCGCGGGAAGGTCAGGTTGTGAGGCGCCCGGATGAGGCTCAGGAAGAAGTTGGCGTCGTCCTCCATGCTCTCGAACTTGCCCACAAAGTCATAGTCGATGAGGCAGGGGCTACACAGCCGGCTGACATGGTCCCAGTGGATGTCCATGCCCACGGGCCGGTGCACGTCCAGCAGATACTGGATGAACTCGGGGAAGCGCACGCCAGAGCCCGTCCGCAGAGCCTCCCTCGAGGCGTTCGCCCGGTATCGAGCCAGGATCGCCTTGCCAAAGACGGGGTGGTAGTAGCTGTTCGGGTGCTCGAACTTGTCACGGAAAGCCGAGACCAGCCTCTCGAAGGGCTCTCGCACGAAGAGCATCTTGGTGTAGGTGCCCAGGCGGTGCAGGATGCCCTGGCGGTCGAAGGTGTCTAGCCGCTTGAGGGCGCTGCCATAGTGGACCGTGTTGTGCTGGATGTCCGCGGTGGATGAAGCGAGCCCGGCCAGCACCATGAGCACCCGCTTCCAGTTGGAGCAGCCGGCCTTCGGCACCTCGCAATAGAGCACGCGGTGGCGGTCCTCCACAAAGATTCGCGACACGTGGCGGGGCGTGACAGGCCTGCGGCTGCTGCTCGCCCGGTACTTGGCGCAGGCCTCCCGCATCACCCGCTTGCGCTCCTGCTGACTCCGGTGCAGGCTGACCCAGTGGCTGTCCAGGGTCTGGGGTCCTGGGCGGACAAGGTTCTCGGATGAGCTGTTGGCCACAACGGCCACTGCAGCTGGCATCTTTTTGATTAGCAGCCGCCGCCGTCTCTGCCGGAGTCGCAGACGGGACCCTGTCTTTGGATGGAATTGAGGTTGATCAGGGACCCGCAGTTTGAGGTCTCTTGGGGCCCGGCTGGACAAATCTTGTGTGACTCTCTCTGTGGATACCTTCATGTCACCATCATGGGAACTACCGGGTTGGAGGTCCTGGGACAAGAAAGGAGATGGTTACCAAGGTGGACAGGACAGCTGGACACAGAGGTCCAACAAGTCAGACTGTTGCCAGGACTGGGGTTTCTGCCTTCTCTGCAGAATGAGATTTCCTGGGAAGAGGCAGGTGTGGCCCCCTAGCCTGAGTCTTGGCCTAGCATAATCTGGTCACCAGTGTGGGGCTTGATTTGGCTTTCTTTTCTGGTACTGGGAATAGAACTCAGGATCATGTGCTTGCCAGGCAGGTTGAGCTACATAGCTCAGCAGCAGAAGCACCTGCCTGGTAAGAGCAAGGTCCTGAGTTCTATTCCCAGTACCAGAAGAAAAAAAAAATAATATATCCCTGGCCCCCAGCGTGGGACTTGAGGTGGAAATGCTATCTCAGCCACAAGATGGTGCGCTCCTCCCAGGAAGCTGGCCAGGGTGGGCGGTGCGAGCCGGTGGCCTGAGGAGGCTGGCTCAGATTTACTGTGTCAATTAGCACAGTCCAAAAGAGCCATCTAACAGGAAAGGGAAATTCATAGATCCAAAGCCCTGGGCTTTGTTCCCAAGGCTCCTGGAAAGGACTGGACACATTTTTCTTTTTAAGGATAGAGTCAACGTGAGCTCCAAATTTTCTTCCCTGCCCTCCCCAACTTTCTCTAGGCTGTGTGTGCTGAGATTTATCTGACTCTCAGAACTTACCTTGTGGGGCTGCTGTGGCCTGATGTTGAACTTTACTCCTAAAAAGCAAACAGAGGAAAGGTCAGGATTAGCAGCAGAAGTGCCACGTGGGTCTCAGGGACCCGCTTACAGGCTCTTTCCCTGTGGACACCCAGGGTGGAGGGAGCTTGGGATAGGCTCCCTGGAAAGGCAATTTAACGCCCCCCCCCTTGGAAAATGAGGCTGGCACAAGGACGTGGTTCCATTGGCTCCCAGCTGGAGCTTTCTCCGCATCTCTGACATGACCTGCAGGTCCAGATGGGTGTCCTGTCCAAGTGTACTGAAACGCCTGCCCAGTGGAAAAGTCAGGGTTCCCAGGCTATCTTCACCGCATGCCATGCTGCGTGAAAGGACCCTTCAAAGGCTTTGTCCATCCTTTCCCCACGCTCCGTCAGCCATGCCCTCGTTCTAGTGAATGTGGATTTTCTGTACTTGGAACAGGATGCATTTTCCCCCAAGCCCTCGAGGTGACTGTCTGGTAGACAGAGGCTACTGCTTCGCACTTTGGTTTGTTGGGGAAGACAGAAGACTGAGCTTATGCAGAAGCCTGGGCTCCTTTCTCAGTACCTGCCTGGCCCACTGGGGGAGCCGGGGCTCTTTCTGCTCTAGTGGCATGGGAATGGCCAAATGTGTTCTGAGGTGTTGCCAAATGGCACAGTCACAATCAGAAGCAGCCACCCCTTAAAGAAGCTAGAGCTTCCAGCCCCGCACAGAGGGGCACTGTGCCAGCCACACCTGACTGAGTCCTGGCTGCTGCCCAGATCAGGGAGGGGGCCATTGCATGGCCCAGCACTTCCCTCGCTGTCTGTACTGGGCTGATGTCCAGTGGCTAGAGCCCAGCTGGCAAGGGACATCAGGTCTTCCCTGACCCGAGCCTCCTCGATTCCTCTGCAGGGTTATTTTACAGTCCGCAGAGCTATGACTTTGACCCCGTGTTGGTCAGTCTGGGGCTGTGTCCGCACATCTCCTTCCCTTGTTAGCAAGCAAGGAGGGAGGACAAAGGTCACGTCTGTGATGGAAAGTTCATATTCCCTGAGCTGCCTGGAATGTCCTTTAAATCCCAAGAGGTGGAAACAAAGGTAGAACTTGGACATGCTGCCTGAATTTCCCCCACCCCCTAATGGAGATTGAACCTATTGTCTGCTCCAAACCACATCACCAGCCACTCCCCTCTCTCTTTCATAAAAGGGTCTTGATATGTCACTAAGTTGCCCATGCTGGGCTCAAACTTGTGATCCTCCTGCTTTAGCTTCCCAGAGTGCTGGGATTACAGATGTGTATTTCTATGCCAGGCATGCTACCTCTCTCATCTGCTGACTCCTTTGGGCTGGGAGGAGGTGTGCCCTTCTCTGGGCAAAGGTCGGTGTGCCTTCCTTTCTGAGCATTCCTGTGTGAGGTGTGTGTGCTGGAAAGCTTGGAAACAAGCCTTTTAGTCTCTTTCAGAGACTGAAGGGAACTCCATGTGGTATTGGGGTGAGCAGTGGGTGCTTGCTCTGAGAGGATTCTTTTAGACTTAAGCCTTGCATCAGTGCTCCCGTCAGCCCCAAAGCTTATTTCCCTCCTCACCAGCTCACCCTCCTTCTCATTCACATCCCCTCCTCTCTGCAGATGGCCTCAGCATGGCCTTCCAGGGCTCAGTTCTCTCTGTCATGTGGGGTTTTCTCCTGCATCCAGCGATGACAGATCTCGTCAACAGAAGGGACCCGCTGCAGCCACTCAGTTTTCCTCTACACCACCGGGTTTCCTTAATTATTTTCTTCTGGTGGTGGCAGCTGGCTCTGCTAAATCACCTCTCCTCCTCAGAGTCTTAGATACGGGAATTTACTCTGCTTGTCACTCCTGTCAAATTGTCAAGGTGTGATGGCGCTTATTTATATTCCTTTTCTGGAGCAAATGAGTCATGCTAGATTTGGCCGAGAGTGGAGCAGAAGAGCCACTTCCAAAGGCATCCTGCCAGTCAGGGAAGTGGGATGGAGATGTACTCATCAAAGCTGCAGCCCCTATGGCTCTGGGTCCTGTTCTGTGTGGGTGGACAGAAGGGTGCTGTCTGCTGGACTTCTGGACTCTGTGAGTCTAAAGTACTTTCTTGGATTGGCCCTGTCTGACGCTGGCCAGTTTAAAAGAGCCCTTGGCATAGGCTGGAGGGAATGTTCCTGGCAGAGGTGAGTGAGTCTTCTGACTTCTTGGCTCTATTTTCCCATAAAGCTAACCTGGCTGCAGTCGGCCCCTCTGCAGAAGGATCTTGTAAACAGTCACAGATCACTAGAACAGACTTTATGTGGATTGTGTGAGTGGGCCATAAGCACTGTGTTACCAACCCTTGTGGCAGATCCTTAGGCAAAGGTGAACTCCGTCCCCACAGAGCCACTTTCGAATAAAAACAGAAACTTGAAATGTAAAACACTTTTCCCCCTGCCAAGGAATGCGTTCCCCTTTTCTCCTCAGGAGAAGCTGGTTTGTCGCCACGCACTGCTCAGATAATGGCGGAAGCAAAGGCTCCTCTCAGCTCTAGGCAAACGGAAGCTAGGGACTGGGTATGCTGAGGCTGGTGTCTGCACGCGCCGGAGGGGGCTGGGCTTCAGGACCCTGGACAGCGCCTCTGCCGCACCCGAGCACCAGGACCAGTGCTGAGGACGATTAGGGGTGAGGGGCTTTGCCCTCAATACAGCCACCACCACCATCTCCCAAGCCCTGAATAAACAAAATCTAGATAAAAACAGAGCTTGCTGAGCAACGCAAGCCACCCCCGCAGCCTCCTCTCCGGGCAGTGCCGTGATGCTGCCATGGGCCCTCCTACCTTCCCATTCCCGCCCTAGGGAGAGTCAGGAAGGAGAGTCCCAAGGTCAGCCGACACTTGCTCCCCTTTCAGGGTCTGAGTAGTCTGTCCCCTCCTCTCAGTACAACATTAAAAATCTGCAAGGGAGATCCATCTCCCTGCACGGGAAGAAATAAACAACCACTTTCTCTTTCTGGACAGATGACATTCGCAGGGTGGCTGGAACACAGACAACATGATAAGAGTGAGCGCTGGTGAGAATAAACAAGGCGTGAGTTATGGGGACTGCCAAATGTGCTGTGCGCTCTGAACTCTTCATCGGCTGAAGGTTTTTTCTTGGTGTTTGGCTGAAAAAGCTTCCCAGTTACCCGCTAAGGGGAGGTGAAGGCTGATGATGCTGTACAAGGCCAGTTTCTTAATAAACAGTGTGTGCAGTCCAGGTCTGGGGGAAGGCTGCGGAGGGGGCTTCATCAGAATGTGTGCTACCGGGGAGAAGGGTCCCTTGCTTGTTCTTTTCCAGAGACACAGGGAGACTGCTGGGTCCCACACAAACCCCCAATACCCAATGCTCAGAGCCCAGTAGAGGTGGCAGGTTCTTTGTCATTTTGAGACAGGGTCTCACTATGTAGTTCAGGCTGGCATTGAACTCATGGCAATCCTCCTGCCTCAGCCTCCTGAATGCTGGGATTACAGGCATGTACCACCATGCCCGGTAGGGTAGCAGTTTTGATACAGGCTTTTGAATGGGCTGTGTAGGTACACAACAGGGATAAAAAAGGACCTCACTGCCTCAAAAGGGGTCAAAGTGCCTCATGCACTCTTTACTCCCCCCGCCACAGCCTCAGGTGGGGGGGATCATACTTGAGGAAGGTGACGTCGGTTCTGACTGCTGAAATTCCAGTCCCAGGCCCTGATGGGCAGTAGGGAGAGATCCTGTCACTCTGGATGCTATGGCCTGGGAGAGACAGAGCTATCTGCAAGGTGTCAAACCCACAGAGGGGCAGGTATTGGAGGGAACTGCAGGGCCAAGAGAGACTCTGTGTGTGTGTGTGTGTGTGCGTGCGTGCGCGCGCGCATGTACCCACACACCAGCCCCAAGTGCCTGCCTGCATGGAGTTTGACTGCTGCTTCTTGAGTCTCCTGAAGTTTCCTCATCAAGCTGTTTGCTTGGTCACTTTTCTATGTCTTGGACCTTGAGATGGCTGAACCTCTGTGGCCAGATACATCACATGTGCACTGCCATTCACATGTCCATTTAAGGGGCTCTGTCTGCTTCCCTTGGGTTAGGCTGGCCTGGGACAGAGCAGATTCTCTCCCACACGTGCATGATCCTGAGTCCAACTCTTGGTCTCCTCCCAGGTCCCTGGCATTGGAGGTGTCAGCATCTGCTCTTCTGTCTCCCGTCTGTACTTGACAGGAGCTTGAGGAAGGCCTCTGAGTCTCTAGGCAGCGAGGCACAGGGACCAGAGCATGCACCCTCACAAAGTAAGGTGAGCAGGAAAGGCAGCCAGGTGGACAGGCTGCCCCCTGCGCTTAGGGGACAAGCCCCGAGGGCACTGCCAGGCCCCACTGCACAGGAAATGTGCAAAGTTTCCAAATGAGAAGTGGATTCATTAGGGCTCTACAGGAAAACACAACCAACAGAAGGTATGCAGGGAGAAGAGAGAGTGAGGGAGTAGGGTGGGGAAGGAAGGGAGGGGAGGAAGAACAGGAGAGGGAAGAAGAGAGATTTTAAGGCATCGGCTCATACAACTATGGTTGGCAGTCTAAAATCTGCAGGTCAGGCCAGCTAACTGGGAAACCAGAGAACTGATATTATAGCTCAAGTCTGGAGGGTGTGGACACAGAATTTCTTCTTCATCAGGGAACCTCAGTCTTTTAAGGCTTTTACCTGGTTGGGTAAGGCCCACTCACATTATGGAGGGTTATCCGGTGTCCTCATTGTCTGATTTAAATGCTAATCACATCTAAAAATACCTTCTCAACACCACTGGATCCCACGGCCTAGCCAAGATGGTACCTACAGGTAACTATCATGGAAGGTGTCTACTTTCACTGCGGCTACTGTGATGAAGTATCACAAGTTGTGCAGCTTAAAATAACACACATGTTTTCTGTCACAGTTTGGTTCTGAGATCTGTAAGTCAGTCTATAAACCTCACTCCCTCTGAAACCTCCAAGAGAGGATCCTTCATGACCATTCCAGCTCTGGGTGGCTCCAGGTGTTCTTGGCTTGTGGTAACACAAAGTTCAATTTCTGCCTCTTCTTTGCATGGTTGTCACCCCTCCTGTGCAGGACTCCTTTCCTCTTCATATAAATACACACATCATACAGAAATACAGCCACCCTAAAGATCCCCTTTTACTTAATCATAGATACAAAGGCTTTGTAAATCATAACTAAGGGTACTGGGGGTTGAGATTTCAGAATTTCTGTGGGGACACAATTCAACCCAGAGAGGGTGATGTGACTTTAGAGGTTTCAGAGAGTTCAGAAGGCAGGGCTAGGCTGGAGGAGGTTCAGAAACAGTTGTCTGCTGGGTTGGGTCTTTGGGTCACTAGCAAAAGATCACTAGAGCTCAGTGTCCTTAGGGGAGGGACCAGGTCTCATTTACCTGGGTCAGACTGGCACAATACCTGGCACACAGCAGGAGCTCAATAAGTGCTTGTGGCAAGGCTGATGCCACCCAGTCTGAGAGCTGGTGCTAGAGGTGGAAGGGGTGCTGGTCTTCTCCCCACAGCAACTCAGGTTGGGTTTCTGGCTGTAGTCACCAACCCCCAACAGGAGCTCCTCCAACCAGCCCCTCACAGCCTAGGAAGAGCCTGCAAGACTCGGTGGAAAATGCCAGAGCAGGTGCTCAGCTGCGGGCAGCAGCTGCCCGAGCTGGATGGTCTGTCTATCCCCACCCTGGCTGGGTGGTCATGAAACCTTGGTACCTCTTGACCTTGAACCTCCTGCTGCCATGTGTAGCCCATCATGCCGGGGCCTGCTCCTGGGACGGGGGCTCACCATGGGCACTCTCCATGGGCACTCCTCCCCCTCTGGCTCCTTCCCACCAGCCCTGGTCCCAGCGTGAGGGTTCAAGTGTCCCGTGGGCCTCTGGCTGCCTCCTGGTGCACTGCTACCTTCATCTAGGCAGACTGTTAACGTATGCAGATTAGATGCAAAACTGAAGATCAACACACTCAGCAATTAGAGGGCAGCCTGGGCTCCAGGCACAGATTTTGGATAGAAGAAACCTCACTAAAAGGTCTTAAATACTCACTTGTGTTCACGGAAAAGTTCGGCTTATTCTCTGCTGAGTTCTGAGGGCACAGCTTGGAGAGTGGTCTTTGTCATGGTCGTGCTGCTGTGGATGCCCTGGACATAGATATAGCAGGGGCCCTTGGAAATAGAGTTCAAGGCAGTGGGGCTGCCCTACACAGGTGTCAGTTGCTCCTGGGCCCTAAAGGGGGCTCTGGTCAGTGTGTGGACCTTCGGGGAGGTGGGCTGGTGCCGTAGCCTGTGCCCTTAACCCTTGAGCCTCAGCCTCTGTGGTGAGCATCCTCCAGCTGCAGACCCGCTCACAGTGGGGTCTTTCATAGTCCCGTCCCTGTTGTTTATCTGAATACCCAAGTCCAGGTTATTTCTAAAGGACAGAAGTTTCTTTGGTTCATAGTTCTGGCAACTGGGAAGTCCGAGGGCACAGCTCCGGCATCTGCGGAGGGCCTCGCACCACCTGGTTGAGAGCGTTGCAAAGCAAGGGGCAAGAGCTTGCGAACTCAGCTCTCTTCCTCTCCTTACAAAGTGACAAATCCCATCCAGGGGCCCCGACCCTAATTATCTCATCTGACCCTAGTCACCTGCCCACCTTCAAATACAATCAGCATGTGAATTTGTGCGTTAGTCTCTAACACACGTGCTTTGGGAAGGTTCACTGAGACTACAGCAGGGTCATACAATGACCTCAATCTCTGAGGTGGCCCAGAGCAAGGCTCCTTCTCCCTTTGCCTGGAGAATCTGCTGTGAGTCATAGCTTTTAGTGAGGGACCAGGATATGAGAAAGAAGCAAGAGGAAGACAGCTTCCTCCTTGGTGACCTTGGACTTGTTCCTCAGCCTCACTGTATTTGTTTGCCCCTCTGTAAAATGGGTTAAACATGCTCATCTCACGAGTTCACAAACGTGCGAATGAAGGCGGGAACTGTGCCAGGCACAGTGTGAGCCTTTTGGACACAAAATGCCAATTCCTGGTGGTTCCCTTCCTGGCAGCTGAGTGTCCCTGAACCCAGTTCTTGCGTCCAGTGCAGAGACTCTGGGACGGGTCAGCAAGGGAGGGAAGTCCTGCTGTCTCAGGCTGATGGGCACCTGACGGCTCTGACCGATACTTGTTTTGTTTAGTGATTCCATCCCTTCGCCCCTGTGATTAGGATCCATGATTCAACCCGGTGGTTCCCTGTCAGATCAGCCTCAGCTGTGAATTCCCTCGGAGCTGTCAGAGAGCTGAGCATCCAAGCTGCCTGTCAGTCAACCAGCCAGCCGGTTAGCCGGGTCTGCAAACCCAGCAGCTGTCCCACCCGCCCCACACCCACCCACCTGCCCATCACTTGCCGAGGAGGGGAGTCCCGGGCATTCCGCCCCCCATGCTCCTCACCTGTGTCAGGGAGGGGTGCTCAGCTCCTGCGGCAAAGCACTTGTCGGTCAGAGCCTGCAATGACTCCCACCGTGTTTGGTGTGCGTGGCCCCAGTACACATGTGCCATACACCGCACTACAACCGGCACATGTGAGTGTTGGTGGGACTGGACTAGCATGTCTTTTGGTCCGTTATACCGTACGCATCGAGGGGATGTGTCACAGCGCAGGTCTGTGCTACACAGGCGTGTGGCCTCTGCTGTGTGTGACGTGGGCGTGCTGTGGGGGAGCGCGTGCGTGTTCACAGCCCCGGGTGGTCTCCGTGAGTCAAGCATATGACTTAGAGAAGACCATGCCTTGGGTTTCTGTGCAGTGTTCTTCAATGCAGATGGGCCTGGGAGGATCAGCAGGAGCTAGTGAATGTTGCTACTGATGGGCAGGAACAAGCTTCATGACAGCAGCAGCAGCACCACGTGCCCCCAGCGCTCCCCATCTCTGCCCGCCATGCAATGTGCAGTGTGCAATGGTCAGGTGCCGCACCATCCCAGGGCTTCCTGTGGCAGAGCAGTCACGGCATCCAACACCATCTGTCTGTCCACCCAACATGGACTGATGAGCCAGGCAGTATCTTAGGCCTGGTGACAGCGTCTAAACCATGAACAGCACCGTCATGGCCCCTGCTCTCCCTCACTGTGTGCTGGCGGCACCAGCAGGTAACATCAGGCAGCCCAGGGCATCAGGTGATGTCTCCTGAAGGCAGTGACAATAAACGACACACAAGGGGAATGGCGAAGACATTCCTGGCAGAGTTTGGTGGCCTTGAAATG